CGGTTGGAGAGAAAGAGGAGCCAGTCCAGCCTCGCTGAGACTGGGTCTGACGCTAGAGAAGTCGATTCTGCCTGACTGCCTCTTGGTATTTACAACCCCAAGAGAACCGATCTTCGGTGCTTTCACACCTCTCTTCCCCCACGCCAAGTGGGACATGAACCAGAATGGGAAATTGACATGGCTCTGCTAAAGTGATAAGGACATTCCTCATTTTGCTTTGAAGAAACAGACCCACATCATCTACATCCCAGACCATCAGGCGCCAATGCTTGGACCGGTTAAAACCGCGATGGACTGTGGTTGCCACTTTTGGACACTAGAGAAGGACTGGATTAAACACATCTCGATAACTAGTTAAAAATGTTTTTAACTGTGTTCTATATAAGGCTCATGTTGATACAAGACAAGTATGCCACATTGCTTAATTCATGTGTTCATAGTCTCTTGTGTGTATTTCATGTCATGTTCCCGCGGAAGTATTTACAGTAACTTCACAGTGTGTTTACGGACAGATATACCTTTGATTTATTTCTATGAATCGTCGGCTAATGTTATCGTAAACAGTTAGTACCTGAATGTGGGAAGTTATCAATTTAATATTTGCAAATGATATTTGTACGGGGACCAGTTCAGCTCAGACGCGGGCGTGCCTTAAATTTGCATATAACAACGCCCACCAAGCGCACTGACCAAAACGAAGCCTCACGCGCGAAAACTTTGCTTTCGCTTCGCTTCACGCTTTCGCTTCACGCTTTCGCTTCACGCTTTCGCTTCACGCTTTCGCTTCACGCTTTCGCTTCACGCTTTCGCTTCACGCTTTCGCTTCACGCTTTCGCTTTGCTTCGCGCTTTGCTTCGCGCTTTGCTTCGCCTTTCTTCGCTCTTCGCCTTGCCTCGCCGCCGCGAGGACCCGCCGAAGAGGACCAGGGAAGACGGCCGGTCGGAGAGACCCAGGGGGAGCTGTAACAGACCTGGAGTCGCACCTGCCGAGAGCTGAGGACCAGAGCCGGTGAAGGAGGCGTGGACCGCCCTACCCGAGTACCGTCATCACGCCGCTGCCTGCCCGTGCGCACGACCACCGCCGAACCCCGCCATCGCCGCATTCCACACGGACCGAGAACAACATCGCCAAGTAAGGCTGGTTCAGACAGTGAATGAATAAGGGTTGGCATCCCTCTTACGATTGCGTCCAATTATTCCTGAGGCAAGCGCAGTAGCGACTTAGCGAAACGCCATAACTGAGCTAAACTGAACCCCGTTTTTATAACTACCTCAGGTTGTTAAAATCGGTGCTTTAATGTTACGTAACCAGAACTTGGAAGCTGGTGTCTAGTTATTGTTTGTTAATAAACCACACAAAGGAATTTGCTGGTTTCAGTGATTTTTCTTAAAAGTTATCATCAGGTCACTTTTTCGGGTACGTTCCCTTCAGATTGATTAAATTGATAAGTTGTTGTTGTCGCATATGGTTAAGTTTGATTCGGTCAGAATCTGGTGCCCCGCAAATGTATAATTTCAATAATTCGTCAAAAGCTAAACCACATGCTCAAACACGCACATCTTACAACACGTTAAATCGCATTTTCTCCTACACCACTCACTGAAACAGTAACTGTAACTGAATACAGTTACTCATAATTTGTACTCTGATTACATAACGGCGGTACATGTAATCTGTTACTCCCCAACATTGGAAACGACGGTGACGAGGCGACGGCGGCAGAGCGCGATCAGTCGACGCAGAACTAGAAAACACCCTTCAAAATGTCCAGGATAGAGCTTTAATCGCAGCTTTCAGTGATCATGCAGATTTAGACTCTGCAGCTCGACTGAACTAAACGTAAAAAGAGCTGTTCACTTGAAAACTACCACTTCATGACATCACAAAGTGGAGCAGAGTGTTTGGAGATGCAGACAGACTCACAATAAAGAGTCACTCAAACAAAACACAACCCCAGCTCTGTTTTTGAGCTTCAGACAAACCGGCACCTTGGCTCTCCGCCGGCTGCGACTGGCCCTGGCCGTACGCCCGCTCCGATTGGCCGTCCTGAAGGCTGCTGCTGCGCTCTGATTGGCCGGCGTCGCAGTGGCGTATCCAGGGGGGGTAGGGCAGATCGGGGAGGCTGTGGATGTCCGAACAGTCCAGCGCCGCTTTGTTGGAGCTCAGCCAATGAGGAAGATGCATCGTGACCTGGTCTCTGCTGCTCGGCCAATCGGGGCGAGGCGCAGAGGCAAGTCCCGCCCACCGAGACGAGGGCGCTTCAGGTCCAGGCTGAAACGGGAGGAAACGGGTCAAAATGTAGGAGCCATTTTGAGGACTCCTGGGTGGTTCAGGTCTAAACCAGGACTAAACTGAGACTAAGACCAGGACCAAACCAAGACAAAGACCAGGACCAAACCGAGACTAAGACCAGGACTAAACCGAGACTAAGACCAGGACTAAACCGAGACTAAGACCAGGACTAAACCCAGGTCCCGCCTCTGCTCCTGCTCACCTTTAAAGTGCTGCTGAGGGGAGTTGTGAGCGCGCTCTGTAATCCTCCTCCACACCTGAAACACACAGACACGACTGAGTGACACGACTGCGAGAGTGACACGACTGCGAGAGTGACACAACAAAGAGTGACACAACAAAGAGTGACACGACAAAGATTGACACGACTGCGAGAGTGACACGACTGCGAGAGTGACACGACTGCGAGAGTGACACGACTGCGAGAGTGACACGACTGCGAGAGTGACACGACAGAGAGTGACACGACTGCGAGAGTGACACAACTGCGAGAGTGACACGACTGCGAAGAGAGTGACACGACGACTGAGAGTGACACGACTGAGAGTGACACGACAAAGAGTGACACGACTGCGAGAGTGACACGACAAAGAGTGACACGAGTGCGAGAGTGACACGACTGTGAGAGTGACACAACAAAGAGTGACACAACAAAGAGTGACACGAGTGCAAGAGTGACACGACTGAGATTGACACGACTGCGAGTGACACGACTGCGAGTGACACGACTGTGAGAGTGACACAACAAAGAGTGACACGAGTGCAAGAGTGACACGACAAAGAGTGACATGACTGCGAGAGTGACACAACAAAGAGTGACACGACTGCGAGAGTGACACGACTGCGAGAGTGACACGACAAAGAGAGTGACACGACAAAGAGAGTGACACGACAAAGATTGACATGACTGCGAGAGTGACACGACTGCGAGAGTGACACGACTGCGAGAGTGACACGACTGCGAGAAGAGTGACACGAGTGCGAGAGTGACACAACAAAGAGTGACACGACTGCGAGAGTGACACGACTGCGAGAGTGACACGACAAAGAGAGTGACACGACAAAGAGAGTGACACGACAAAGAGAGTGACACGACTGCGAGAGTGACACGACAAAGAGAGTGACACGACTGACTGCGAGAGTGACACGACTGCGAGAGTGACACGACTGCGAGAGTGACACGACTGCGAGAGAGACACAACAAAGAGTGACACGACTGCGAGAGTGACACAACTGCGAGAGTGACACGACAAAGAGTGACACGACAAAGAGAGTGACACGACAAAGAGAGTGACACGACAAAGAGAGTGACACGACAAAGATTGACATGACTGCGAGAGTGACACGACTGCGAGAGAGACACAACAAAGAGTGACACGACTGCGAGAGTGACACGACTGCGAGAGTGACACGTCTGCGAGAGTGACACGCCTGCGAGAGTGACACGCCTGCGAGAGTGACACGACAAAGAGTGACACGAGTGCGAGAGTGACACGACTGTGAGAGTGACACAACAAAGAGTGACACGAGTGCAAGAGTGACACGACTGAGATTGACACGACTGCGAGTGACACGACTGCGAGTGACACGACTGCGAGTGACACGCCTGCGAGAGTGACACGACTGCGAGAGTGACACGACAAAGAGTGACACGAGTGCGAGAGTGACACGACTGTGAGAGTGACACAACAAAGAGTGACACGAGTGCAAGAGTGACACGACTGAGATTGACACGACTGCGAGTGACACGACTGCGAGTGACACGACTGTGAGAGTGACACAACAAAGAGTGACACGAGTGCAAGAGTGACACGAGTGTGAGAGTGACACAACAAAGAGTGACACGACTGCGAGAGTGACACGACTGCGAGAGTGACACGACAGAGAGTGACACGACAGAGGGAGTGAACCCGAGAGCGCCCGTCTCACCTGGAGCAGTGGAGCGCTCTGATTGGCTGGCTGCTGCCTCTGTGGGTGAGGCTGTGGCTGCAGGTGTTTTTAACAGGAGACCGGACCTGAGAGAGTCTGGACTTAGACACAAGACCTGAAAGAAAAGATTCAAAAAGGATCATGAGAAACCAGGACTCAACCAGGACTCAACCAGGACTCAACCAGGACTCAACCAGGACTCAACCAGTACTCAACCAGTACTCAACCAGTACTCAACCAGGACTAATATCGTGCCGTGTTGTGTCGTCGCGTCTGTAACGTGTCGCGTCTGTGACGCGTCGCGTCTGTGACGTGTCGTCGCGTCTGTGATGCGTCGTGTCGTCGCTTCTGCGACGTGTCGTGTCGTCGCTTCTGCGACGTGTCGTCGCGTCTGCGATGTGCCGTGTCGTCTGTGACGTGTCGTGTCGTCGCGTCTGTGACGTGTCGCATCTGTGACGTGTCGTCGCGTCTGTGACGTGTCGTCGCGTCTGTGACGTGTCGTCGCGTCTGTGACGTGTCGTCGCGTCTGTGACGTGTCGTCGCGTCTGTGACGTGTCGTCGCGTCTGTGACGTGTCGTCGCGTCTGTGACGTGTCGCGTCTGTGACGTGTCGCGTCTGTGACGTGTCGCGTCTGTGACGTGTCGCCGCGTCTGCGTGTGACGTGTCGTGTCTGTGACGTGTCGTGTCGTCGTCTGTGACGACGTGTCGTGTCGTCGCTTCTGCGACATGTCGTGTCGTCGCTTCTGCGACGTGTCGTGTCGTCGCGTCTGCGATGTGCCGTGTCGTCTGTGACGTGTCGTGTCGTCGCGTCTGTGACGTGTCGTGTCGTCTGTGACGTGTCGTCGTCGCGCTGTGATGTGTCGTGTCGTCGTCTGTGACGTGTCGTGTCGTCGCGCCTGTGACGTGTCGTGTCGTCGCGTCTGTGACGTGTCGTGTTGTCTGTGACGTGTCGTCGCGCCTGTGATGTGTCGTGTCGTCTGTGACGTGTCGTGTCGTCTGTGACGTGTCGTGTCGTCGCGTCTGCGATGTGTCGTGTCGTCTGTGACGTGTCGTGTCATCGCGTCTGTGACGTGTCGTGTCGTCCGCGACGTGTCGTGTCGTCGCGTCTGTGATGCGACGTGTTGTATCGTCGCGTCGCCGTCGTACCATGCAGGAAGGCGCTGGTGTGCGTGATGGGCATGGAGCCGTCGTTAGGGAGGCTGAGCAGCTCGTCTGTCGTCATGGAGACGCGGTCCCTGTTGTCACGGTGACGGAGCGAGCTGACGGGGAGAGTGAGGAAGTCCAGCTCCTGCTCCGAGAGACGCTCCCGCAGCACTGAGGACGAGACAAACGCAACAAATCAGCAAATCAGCAGGTCCTCTGAGGGCGGGACGCTAACTGGAGGCACTGCTCTGTCTGAGGACACAAACACAGTCTGACCAGAACCTGTGGAGACTCAGGACTCTTGGATCTCGGTTCTGACTTTGTTTGAATAATAAAACTTTAGACAAAAAGAGCTTCGTACCGTCCCTGTTTCTGAGCGTGCTCAGTGTGCTCCTGTGGGCGGAGCAGAGGGGCAGTCCCAGCCCCGCCCCCTTTGGTGTGTTTCCATGGCGACTGCGTTCAAAGTCTGTGATGTAAGCGTCAAGAGCAGCGGACGCCGACTCGTACTCCTGCACATACACACACAACACACGTAAACACACACACACAACACACAACACACAGACACACACACAACACACACACACACGTAACACACACACACACACACACACACACACGTAAACACACACACACACACAGACACACACAACACACACACACACACACACACGTAAACACACACAAACACACAAACACACACAAGATACACACACACAAACACACACACACAGTAGAGGTAAGATCTTAAGACCGAGCCCAAGCCCGACCCGACCGCTCGGGCTTCAAATAAATATATGTTTATAAAATGTTTGCTAAAACGATGTGTGGATACTAAACTAAGGAATACTTGTTATAAAATAAATAATATGGATAAAACAGAGAAGTAATGTAATGTAATTGCTATTTAACTACTAAACAGGATCCGCAGAGCTCTGGCACGTGAACGCCCCCTCTTCATTTAATCATCTTCCCCTCCGCAAGTCTGCATCTATTTTGACCTGGTGTCCCCAATATGGAGGAGCAAGAAGTTAAACTAAAGGCAGGAGAACTGAAAAGACAAACACGCACCGGTAAGAGTGAGGTGTGGAAAAGCTTCAAATTGATTGTTGAAAATGCTACAGAAACTTGCGTTGGCTTCGCTGAATGTCGTCAATGTGGCTTTGCTTTCATACGAGAGCAAAAAGACTGGCACCTTGACGCTGAGCACTGCTCCTCCTCCCGAGTCCTCACAAATAAAATATGACATTTCGGGTTTGCTTCGGGCTCGGGCCTGCAAATCAAGTTAATTGGTCGGGCTCGGGCCGGGTCGGGTTTTAATACCCGCGGGCCGGGTCGGGTCGGGCTGGATTTTTTAGGCCCGATCTCACCTCTAACACACAGACACACACACACAACACACACAGACACACACACACAAACACACACAGACACACAAGACACACAACACACACACACACACACAACACAACACACACAGACACACACAACACACACACACACACACACACAAGGGGAAGAGTGTGTGAGTTTGTACCACACACAAACACATACAGCAAAACAGATACACACATGAGGCAGGTCCCTCCACAGACACTCAGGACCACACACACTAGGACACAGTGGGGGACACAGTGGGGGACACAGCGGGGGACAGTGGGGGACACAGCGGGACACAGTTGGACACACAGCGGGGGACACAGCGGGGACACACTGGGGGACACAGCGGGGGACACAGCGGGACACAGGACACAGCGGGGACACAGCGGGACACAGTTGGACACACAGCGGGGGACACAGTGGGGGACACACTGGGGGACACAGCGGGGGACAGTGGGGGACACAGCGGACACACAGTTGGACACACACAGCGGGGACACAGCGGGACACAGCGGGGGACACACAGCAGGGGACACAGTGGGGGACACAGTGGGACACAGCGGGGACAGTGGGGGGACACAGCGGAGACACAGCGGGACACAGCGGGGACACAGCGGGACACAGCGGGGGACACAGCGGGGACACAGCGGGGGACACAGCGGAGACACAGCGGGGGACACAGCGGGACACAGCGGGGGACACAGCGGGGGACACAGCGGGGGACACAGCGAGGGGACACAGCGGGGGACACAGCGG